AAATGAAGAAAAAATGTTATCCGTAAGATGTCGAAGAATACAATAGTCGTAACCGCGAAAGAAAAGCGGACGTGGTAAAATAACGCAAAGTAAAGTAAGGTAACTCGTGGCTATAATCGAAGGTACAGTAAAATGGTGCAAGTGAGATGGAAGAAAATATAAAGAGGGGACTGACTACATGGAGTCAACGTTCCGAGCGGGTCAGCGACCAGCTCTGTCTTTTTCTCTTTCAACTTCTTCTCGTGTCCTTTTCTCATGATACTCTTCCTTCATAGCTGTTTTTCCATATTAGAAATTTTATTTTATACTTCATTTCATCAATCGAAGGAATTTTAAACGAATTATCGGAGTGTACATATGTTTGATGAATTTCTCCGATTTCGAATAGCATTATAATTTAATATAAGGAACAATTCATTGCGGAAGAAGTATTGTGATTTGTGACGGTTTGAAAGTTACATACGGCTATGTGTACGAAAGGTATGAATATAATCCTTGTCAGAGAGAAAGTTTTGTGCAACGGTGAATCCACTCCTCTTCCTTCTCTATCGTGAAAGAGCATCCAAAATGAATTGTTCATCATAAAATATAAGAAATCCAATTATTACCAAATTGAAATATTTTTAGATGAGGTAAAAAAAATCAATGATTAAAAATATATATGTCAAATATATTATTTTAAATACTTTTTTCTTATTATAGATCAATGATTATTATTCTTTCTCTTGTATTATTAATTCTATAAAATGACAAATATCATATAAAATTATTCCTAATTAAATGAGATATATATACATTAAAATTATAAACATCACATTAAATTATACAATAGTTTTCGCATAATATATTTTATTTTTATCAATTTATTTAACAAAAATTGTCCTTTTCATATAATTTTTGTATTTATAATTAATTCTAAATTATAGAAACATTAATTGCTGATATTAGCAATTAATAATTCTAGATTTATGTGGATAAAACTAAAATCGGGTTAAGATTCATAAGAAATAAATGTTTGATAGATGTTCCTAATTTAAAAAAGTTCTCTTTTATATCTTTTATTTTACTTTTTTCGCTTTTTTTTTAAAGAACGAATATTAAAATTAAATGAATAATAATTTTTTATATTATTAAGAAAATTATCAAGTTCGATTATTATATATATGACAAACTTAATCTCGATTATTAATATCTATCATAATTATATTTTATACTCTTTTTTTTTTCTATATTTTCTATATTTCTATATTTATGGTACAAAATATCAATTATTTTTATTATTTTTTATTGACTATAATTAATCATTTTTATAATAACGATTTTGATCATGTATAAATTATTTATTTTCTTTGATTCTTTCTGTTTCAAATAAAAAAAAAATTTGTTAAAAGCCTTAAAACAAATGAATGTACAAAACACTTAAAATTTGCATTTATTTTATAACAGCATAGTATAGAGAATCGATATTAGATATAGACACGAAAAGTTCAGAGTCCGATATCGTAAACCGGCTTTCCTTCCATCATCAACGCAGACTTTGCTCCTCAAGCATAGACTAGTCTCGCGCAATTCTTGTCATTTATTCAGTTTTCTATATCTGTTCGATTTGCAAAAATTTCATCTTCATTATTTATCACATATTTATTTTGTTTGACATTAATCATATTTTAAATAAATAAATTAAATTTCTCATCAAATATATATATCTTCCTCTTATGTCACGTACAAGTTCTCAAATTTTATCCGGAAATGTAAATAATTTGAAGATAATGCTTATAAATATTTATGTAAAAAAATAGCTTTAATTCATTGTAAATAACTCATTGAAATAATAATCGGGATTTGTTTACTATTCTGTAACACAAGAATTGACAAAAATCTATGTGAATATATTTATTTTGTAATCTCAATATGATTAATTTGTTCGCAAAGAAAAGCAAATAATATATATGTATGTAAATATATATAACAAAAATATGAAATTAACATTCTCGTAGTATTTATTTTTGATCTTGGTCCATCATAAACCAACCGACAATGCACTTGTCTTCCTCTGGCTGTCGTTACGCGCTGTCGAGCCCGACCAATCACAGCTAGCGGGCAACAGGTGACCGACCAATCCGGTCTCCTTGTCACGATATCGTTGTTCTTACGTAGTGCTAAGCATTTCGTTTCTACGGATATTCCTACCAAATCCAACGATGATTGCTTTCCCGTTTTCTGCTTCTCTGTCTATAAGTACTTACATAGCTCTTCTTATTCTCTCATTTCCCCACCCCTTACGGAGATCGTGCCAACCTGTTGCTTGTTAGGTTTCCTTCATTCTCCTTCGATTCAATGTAAACTATAGATATAATATTACTATTTATATATATTTATACGAATTTTATAATGGATATAGCAAATAAATAGTTTAAAATTTTTATTTTGCGAAATTTGATACGAGATTTTTAATTTTTCTATGTGAATAATCAACATGTTTGAAAATAGATATAAAGAAGATTTCTTAAATGACTTATCAGTTTTCATATCTAACGAATAAAAACATATATGGATATATATTTCGTCAAATGACTTACAATAATATTATTATTAAATAATATTATTAAATAGAGAGCAAGAAAAAAATATTAATAATTGACATATATCTTCTGTTTCCATAAATAAATAAATCTGATTTAAATCAAACTAAAAAAAGAAGATTAATTTAATTATTATGTAAATAAATGTATTGTATATGTATTGTAAATATATTGAATATTCAATTTATTTTTCAGAATATTTTTAATGTATTATATGTACTTTGCATTTATATTTGTATTTGTAAAAATCCACAATGTTTTGATAAAAGAGAGAAAGAGAATCTCGATAAATGAAGTAAGACATATATACACGCACGTTATCAAGGCCGTGATCATGTTATGGAGGGAGCACCTCGAATCGAGGGCATAGTCGACAATATACGTACCTGTGATCATTTATAGAGGCTCCTTATAACTCAGAAATGCGCCAAGTAGCCGCCATTTTTGTTTCTTTCGATCACCATCCTTATACCTCTTCGAATCTGCCAACCATATATATTCCTGATCAAAAGGGACGAACATTCTACTTCGAATGTTTACCTTCTTCGTGGAGAATTCATTCATACACACAATATCGTTTCGGATCGGTTCGATGTATCGAATATATCGTTCGATCCGCCATGAAGAAATAAACGTGGCGCTCCAGGTAGAAAATAATCGCGGCCGGGGAAAGAGGGGTGAGCGTACCGCAAGGCGAGTGGAATGTCTGCGCACCTGGCCAGTGCGTCGCTGCTTTGACCTGCCTTTCCCTTCGCCTCTTTAACCTACACTGTTCCGTTTTCGTCATGGCAACATGCAGCGACATTCGAATCTAGTATTCTGAAACCAATTTCACAAATCATTGTAAAGAGAATATCCATCAAAGAAGTTTCTCGAATTTAAACATTCAATGTCCGTTATCATCGTGTGAAGTTTCCGCGTTTTTTCAACGTGACTTGCTCGATCCTTGTCTTGTATGTTCGTTCCGTCGATGTTAACTATCCTTGTTGCACGAACATGTACTGAGTTCACCGTGCGGGAAACGAAGCGCACGGGAATGAGCAAGAGGGTCTCTCTAGCCAACGAGCGACGGGTTCGATGCGCAGTCGCCAGGTGAGGCAACGACGACGTGTGCGCGCAACGGTTGGGGTTCGCCAGTGTTGCACGAAACCTTGCCACTCGCGACGCGGCGGTTCGTTCACGGTGAAAGAACCGCAGAAACAAATTTTTATTCACGTTTATTGGGGGGCCGAATTAATCAAGTTATTATTACGCAATATCTGCGTAAACGTGGCGTGTTGCATATCGTGATATCATCCATCGGCTCGCGATCACGGTTGTCGATCCTTAACCTCAAACAATAAATAAGACAACGATGTCATCGAAAAAGGATACCAAGAATCTGTGAACGTGTTTAATTTTAGTGAAACGTGTAAAGGTTTTATCAGTTGGGAAAAGAGCATAACAAGAAGCCTGGAGTTAATTTTTCAGCCTCGTCCAGGACACGGTTACGATCCGTGTCCGTACGGTGTGCTACTTTGATAATAGGGTTCAGGTGTACATTGACCTAGAAGTGAGTAGTGTCCGAGAACGGAACGGATCGCGACGGAAACGAAAAGTAAACCCTGGCACGATGCAGACTATGGGCGCTACGAGGGGACCGACTCACCTGGTTGCCCTTTACGTGGCGACGGCCGGTCTCCAGGGTAATGCTCTCGGTTCTGATGAAGAGGAAATTACACTATTGGTTTATGTGCTTATCGACGTACTACAGAATAAGGTATGTTACATATGTAGAATAATTATTGAAAAAGAAAAAAAAAGATAGGAATGAAAAAAGAAAAATTGAATTAATTCAAGAATATAAAATATTAAATGATTTACCGATTTATGTCACTTATTTTCTGCATGTAATTTTTATGAGCAATATAAAATAATTACAATTTTTTGTATGATTTATGATATTTATGCAATATGATTCACATATGTTATATTAACTAATTGAAAAATATCTTGTTTTAAAAAAACGTTCAAATTTTTCGAGTGATCTGAAATATAATTAATACTGTTTTCTTTCGCATTTCTGTTTTCGACTCGAAGATAATTATCAATGAATAATTAATTAATTATTTCATCGAAACCGTGATACCAAAAATTATCAATGTATCATTTAATTTTCACAAAAATTTCTTTACCGCTGTCAATCTTCGTGTTTGCACTGAAACCGTGCCGCCGTGCCTCTGCATGTCTCCGGCTGCCATTGTTTCTCGAATTATCCGGTGGGGGCGGAGCGTCGCGCCCTCGAAAGGTCGTCCATTACCTCCAGCTTTGCCATCGAGATTATCTGGCGCCATGGATTCCGTTTCTTATTAATTCTCTTATATTGTGATAGTAAAACTATATTTCCTATTGAAATATAATTTTTAATCAATGTTTGATATTAATTATTTAGATTTATTGTTTTTTAATATCATATAAAACATAAATTTTTATTATCATTAATATTTTTCTCATGATTGTTTCAATTCAAAAGTACATAAGAAAAGTACATAAGTGAAAGTAGAAAACATACTAATCGTATAATTTGTAAATATAATTGAAAAAATCATTTTAAGTTATTTTCAAATTAATTATAAATGTTATAAAATAATGATCAATAAAATCACTTTCTGATTAAGATGATGATATTTTTTTTATTAATGTAGATTATAGACAAGAATATTGATTAGAATTCACAATTATGTTAAATATTATCATTAATATTCAACGTTTTTTGCATTAAACTTGATCGATTGAAATTGGATTTTTATCATATCAAGTTTTCATTAATATTCAAAGTTAAGTAATATTCGGTTCATTTTCATTTTAATCGCATTCTTTCGTAAAATATTGAGAAATTTTTATAAACCGATCATTATATAAAGTAAATGAAATAATTTTTCTAAGAAACATTTGAAGGAAAGTAAATTTTGTTTTATATAGTTTACATTATGCGTCTAGTGAATTATATTTACTTCGATGAACTTTCGAGTTTCGATTTGATTGTGACAAAATTTATAAAATAAAATTTTCTCAGCAATGAATTTGAGGAATAAGGCTGCAACAGGTGCATTTAGTATTCTTTATTCTTTGTTGTGAATTGCCTTGCACGAATGCACCCGAGTTCCAGCTGGACGATCGTTTCCTTTTTCCCTCAAGTTACATACCTGACTATCTCCAATCGAAAGCATCGAGGACAATGGCCCTTTCGTTTTACTAAGTTTTCATGCAAATCCAACAATTGATATATCTACCTAGAAGTAAATATAGTATCTACGTATATACACACATTTATAAATATTATTATTGTTATTATAACTATCCGATATTACCTATACCGATATTATCTATCAATAAATCGTTGTACGATCCAAATTGTTCGATATTTAAAATTTTTTATCTTTAGTATCATTTAGGTATCCAATGTATTTTTAATATACATCCCTAAATAAAATATTAATATTAATGGTATTGTCGATTAATTATCAGTTCTGCGCATTCAATAATGTTATCAAAATGCGATACTACTAGTCGTTAAATATATATTAGCGCGTTTTATATATACATTAAAAAAAATTTTTTATTTTATAAATTGGAAAGCGGTTTTGTAATTTATAACAGCGAAAAAGATTTAGCAAAATTTTGTATATTTTAAAATTTGAATTATAGGAATTAAAATTAATTAATATTTAATATAAATAAAAGGTAATCAATTTAATCAAAATGTTTATATCTATATTATCTTAAATAATTTGATTTCTTGTAAATATAAATTAAATATCAGAGAAGTATCGAAAAATTTGTATACAATAGGAAAATCGAAAGTTTCTAGTTTCTAGTAATATAGGATTATGAAAATTTTTGCTCTGATAAAAATAATAGAGATTGCAAAGTATGAGATATACAGCCTTTTAGAGATTCAAATCTATTCAAAAGTAGATTGAATATCTTGATAAATATTACATATGTAAGTAAGTACATCTCTCTGTATCTTTGAATTTTTTATCGTTAGTAAACGCCAGATTGCCTCTCGCTTTCCTTTCATATATTATAAGTGCAATAACTTCTCTATTCTCTCCTTGATTTATTTCGCCAAGATCCATGAAATATCTCTCACCGTGTGAAAAGAAAGGACATTGATTTAAATCAGGAAAGAAAGATTGTACTCGCTAAGGTTGAAACACAAAAACACAAGCATTGTATGGTTTTACTTGAGCAAACAAAAATCTCGAAGTATAATTCCTGTAATTCTAAGGAATTGATCCTTTTATGTTGTCTATTTAAAAAAAGTTTTTAAAAGCAAAATATACATAATCATATTTTTATCATAATTTTACATATCACAAAATTATTCATAGTATGAAATGAATTTTATTAATAAAACTTAATATAGTTATTTCTATTTTTTTTTTTTTTTTTAATTAAAACGGCAATTAAAATGTT